TTTTTAATTTTGTTTTAATTTTGTTTATGTTCATTGTGGCTTCAAATTGTGCCAGTGTAAGCCACCTTGAATTGCCTTCGGGCTGAGAAAGGCGGCATATTTATTTATTTACTATATTTGTACCCTGCCCTTCTCACCCCGAAGGGGACTCAGGATGGCATAGAAATGCAGTAAATAAATAAATAAATACATGTAGTGCTGTAGTGCTCCTACATTTCTTTAATACAAGATTTGATTATACATGCATTTGAGTAAAATGTTGTCTCAGGGAATCCTTGGGTCCAGTTTGATCCTTTGGTCACTGTCCTCCAGTTGTGCTGAAGGATCTAGGGATGTCCAGAGAGAACATGTCTGTGGGAATCTGGATTCTCCAGTGTGATTCTGTGTTCAGCTTGCTGTGGAATGTGACCGTAGAGTTGCTCTGGAAGACCTGGAAATTGCTAGAGAGAAAACAATTAGCAATGTTTTTCTTTGCAGTTTTTCACTTTCATGAGAGTTCTCTGCTCTAACTCCTGCGAATGTGGAGGGTGGCCTGGACTCCAAAATCCAAAATTGTCTACAGAGATGGATGAGATAGTGATACCTTTGCTTTCTGAAGGTTCAGTGTGCAAAAGCTTTGTTTCATTCTCATCATCATTAAAATACTGAATAAAATTACCTTTAGGCTATATGTTTAAGATGTACATGAAACATAAATTAATTTTGTGCTTGGACTTGGGTCGCATCTGCAAGTATATACATATATGCAAATGCGGGTGTAGAATTCCAGAATCTGAGGGGGGGGGGGGGAAAGAATCTAAAATCCAAAACACTCCTAGTCCCAAGCATTTTATATAACGGATACTCAACCTGTCTTTTGAGCACTGGACTGTAACTCTGGAGAACATGGTTCAGATCTCCCCTCAGTTATGGAAACCCACTGGGTGACATTGGACAAGTTACATTTTCTCTGAGAAAGGTAAAGGCAAAGCCTCTCTGAGGAAATCTTGCCAAGAAAACTCGATGATAGGTTTTCCTAATAGTTGTCATGAGTAAGAAACAATTTGAAGGCATACAGCAACAACAATATCGTAGGGTTGTTTGTTGCCTGTGATATATTTGTGATGAGTTATGAGGGCATAGGTTGTAATGGCTCCTTTTGGGAAACACGTATGCCGAAAGTCCATGTTACATCTCAACCTCATGTTGAATGTTGTGTTGAAAGAATGTTTCTTTTAATATAGGCAGAGCAAAGAGCTGTCAAGCATGTTTGAAGCTGTTCCATGTTTGCTTTATAGCAGATCTTAGCATTCAGAGGGTAAGGCAAGTACAGATGGTTTCCAGAAGGGTGTATCTTCCCTCCCATTCATTGATATGTCTTTTGACAGGGAATGCCCATCCTGCTTGGGCATATTGCTCCATTTATTTACTTACAAATATTTATTAATCACTTAAATCAAAGCTAAGTTTCAAAGCTATGGAGAAAACATACAATAAATTCAACAAACAGCCCCCTTCGCTCTCCCCACCCCCATATTTACTTTGATCATGGAATTGTGTGACTCGCCAGAAGTGGTTGGATTGCAAATCCCAAGTTTCCTCACCATTGGGTCTCCGGATCATGGAGGAAGGGTGTTGTAAATCAGTCACTTTTGGAGAGCTTCATCATTTTCACCCCTGCAATAGATGGTAAGTTTGCCTCCCCAGGAAGGCTTGCAAAAATAGGTTTTCCACAGGCATCTAAAAATAGACATTGTTGGCGCATGTGAAATACCAGAAGAAAGTGTGTTCCACACAATGAGCGCTATAGTTTAATTAATGAATATCTCACCTTCATCCTTACTCCGGATTCAGGGTGGCTTACAACAATTCAAAACCTCGTAGTGTAATATAATAGTTAAAAAACCATGAAATCACAATTTTGTTTTAAAAGTTGTAAGTCATAATACATTAGAAACACAACACGAACAATCCATTAATAAGCTCCATCAGCTGCAACAAGTTAAAGGCCAAAAGTCTTCCTAAATAAAAAGGTTTCCTGCTGGTGGAAAGAATACATGGAGAATTTCTTGGAATGGGAATTCTCTATCTTGAAAGGAGCTTCTGAGAAGCTTATCTGGGAAGGGATGGGGGAAATATAGCCCTAGGACTTCATGTGGCCCAGCAATGTTGTGTTTTAACCCCTAAATTGAACTTTTTCTATTGAAGAATGGCTGCCCGGTGAGCATCAAGGAGCACTAATTGGCTTTTCAGATCAATTTTAGCCCCATCCTAATTTTGGAACATTAACAAAATCTCATTTTAATAATAAAAGAGAGAGAGAACTGGACTTGTGGCCTGTTCCAAGTATATATGTATCTGGCGACACAGTGGGTTAAACCGCTGAGCTGCTGAACTTGCTGACTGAAAGATTGGCGGTTCAAATCCAGGGAGTGGGATGATCTCCTGTCAGTCCTAGCATCTGCCAACCTAGCAGTTCAGAAGCAGGCAAATGTGAGTAGATCAATAGGTACTGCTTCTGCAGGAAGCTAACAGTGCTCCATGCAGTCAAGCTGGCCACATGACCTTGGAGGTGTCTATGGACAACATCAGCTCTTCGGCTTAGAAATGGAGATGAGCACCACACCCCTGACTGAATATCAGAGGAAACCTTGACCTTGAATTTAACTTTCAGTAATTTGTGCAGCCCTGGAAGGTCCCATGGAAAGAAAATAGATTCCCAATTCAACAGAATGTCCGACTGCTGGCTTCTACCTGTTTCCACTATTGTGCCATGTTGCATGTCAGTTCCAGCCTTTTCTTACATACTATCCTTTTGGTTACCAGGGAACTGTGAGAAGTATTGTCATCTCATGTGACTGATGTTTTCTTTTTTCTCTTGGGTAAAGGGGACAAAAGAAAATGCCAACGCAAACTCTTTAACACTCTGAAATGAAGTACTGCTAATCTGGAAGCAGATTCCACTTAGTTAGAATGAAGTGTTAGTGTTGTGTGCCTTAAGGTCATTTCCATCTTCTGCCAAATCCATTACAGGGTTGGGTTTGTGTTTGTGTGTGTGTGAAAAATTTATTCAGGGCAATTTTCCCTTTGCCTTTCTCTGAGGCTAAGGCGGAGTAAGCATCTCTAGGATGTCTGTTGTGCCTACATTTAGTAGGAAAACTAGTCAAAAGGTTTTCCTGACTAGGACCAGCTCCCTTGGATAGGCTGTATCTGTTATACTAACCAGCACAACTTTTGGTCCTTCTATAAGCAGTACAATTATGTTTGTATGTGCGTGTTTATTTTAATTACAGAATCCAAGCCATTAGGAGCATTGGTTCTATTTGCCTTAGAAACAGATGTTTGGCCATTGAAGGGCCCTTTCTTATTACTTGAGAAAAAGTCTGAAATCAGTTTACCTGACATGTTTTATTGGTGTCAGTAGGGCTTACTTCTGAGTAGGCTGTCCAGTTGGTGACATCATGTATGAATAAAGTTATGAGATATTCAATTTAGAGTACAGATAGCATGACCATGTACCTGACTGTATTGTTTTCGTCGTATGCCTTCAAGTCTTTTCTGGCTTATAGCAACCCTAAGGTGATGTCTCATAGGGTTTTCTTGGCAAGATTTGTTCAGATGGAGTTTGCCTTTCTCTGATTCTGAAAGGGTTTGACTTGTCCAAGGTCACCCAGTGGGTTTCCATGGCCGAATGACAATTCAAACACTGGTCTCACAAATGTCTTAGTCCAACACTCAAACCACTGTATTACTCTGGCTTGTTGGCCATACATAAGAAATTTGTTAGTTCAACCATATTTTAAGCATGAATCTGGTTTTGAAGCTTTTTATGAGGGTTGGATGAAAAGTAATGCCTCCACCTTCGTAACTCTTCAACAGATGGCAGTACTGGTATGCAGCAAGTCCTGGCTTGTTCAGTAGGCTCTCCTCTACAGTTCCATTTTGGCGGGAAGCCTTAGCATTGAGTAGTTGTGTATGGAACCCTGCACAGACTGTCAGTCAATGTGACTTAAGCAACATGCAGTTATTGAATTCTTCACAGCAGAAGGTGCCACCTCGACATCTTTAAACTTACTCGCCCAACGACGCAGTACTTACATCAACACAATCACCATAAACAGCTTGCATTCTCTGATGAATCTCCTTTGGGATGACACCTTCTGCTGTCAAGAATTAAATGACTGCACGTTGCTTAAGTCACATTGACCAACCATCTGCACAGGGTTCCATACTTTGCACTTTAACAATACAATGCTAAGGCTTCCTGCCAAAATGGAACTGTAAAGGAGAGTCTACTGAACAAGCCAGTACATGCCGCATACCAGTACTGCCATCTGATGAGGAGTTATGAAGGTGGAGGCATTACTTTTCATTCAACCCTCATAATATAGTTATGCAAGTTTACTTTTACTTAAAAGTACACAGTATGTAAAACTTGATGCCAGTTGCCCTATTCATCTAAGATTCATGGAACATTTCTCCAGTAGTTTTTCCAAGACTTTCGTCATATCCCTTCCTCTTTCCTTTAGGAACTTCTAATGTTGATGTGGCAAAGTATTCTACTCTGCAAATAGTTGATTGTTAGAACTTCATATTAGATTTGAATTACTCTTTTCTTGTTGTTGAACAAATTGAGTGATGGTGTTAATTTTGGACATCAACTTTAAAATCCCCCAGTCAGTATAGCCAGTGGTCATGCTAGCTAGACACTTTCAGTAGTTGGAGTTCATTTTTCTCAAGATCCTAGTATTTTTCATAGCAGTTGATTCCCATGTAACAGGATTAGCTTTTTGTCTTTGGAGACGCTATACAAGGATGTACCAACTTCTTATGGCACATTTGCAAGGCAAATGTACTTCATCCTCATTGTAGGAAATAACTGAAAGGAGATATAAGAAAAAAAGTAACTTTAAATAACAAACTGTCCAAATGTCAAGTGTCTTGACTGATGCTTTTATGCTGTTTGGGTTTTTGCTTCTCAGAGTTGTTTCTAACCTTTGCCTCTTTAATTTTTCCCCCAGGATGGATTGTTGAATCCGGAAGCATTGGAGACCTGGTCATACAGCCCGGCTGGTCCGCACACTGCTTTATTTATCTATTACTAGTTATTTAAATTGAACTTTTAATAACCTGCCAGCTGCTCTTCAGACACACATGGTGCATTGTTGCCATTCCCAGAATCACATCTTTGAAATCCAGGCCCTTGGTAACCTTCATCAAACAAAGAGGCGACCCAGAGGATACTCCCGCAGGACTGCTCAAACCTGCCGCCCTCTCGCCTCCCTGTTGCCTGTGCTGCTTTTCTAGCACATCATGGAGCCCACCATGGAGTATTGTTTGGTTCAGGTCCTGCAGAAGGACGTTGGAAAGAGACTTCAGGTTGGCCAAGAATTAATAGACTACTTCTCAGATAAACAAAAATCTTCTGATCTTGAACATGATCAGACCATGCTGGATAAAATGGTTGATGGTCTTGCTACCTCGTGGGTAAATTCCAGTAATTATAAGGTAAGATGGATTTGCAAAGGTGAGATGGCTGAGGTCAACCATGGCTTCAACTCTGGTTGGTTTGCATCAGTTATGGAACAGTGTCCTCATTCTTCATTTTGTTAGCTTCCAAATCCTATTGAATCTCTGTGTTTATTTGTGTTCAGTGACTGACAACGTAGTGACACTGTCTTCATTTGGTCACGCTTCGCTGAATTTTATGTGCACATGGCATTCAAGATGCTAAAAAGAAAATCTTGCCTCTTCAGTGTTGTGAATGAAAGTTGTAGAGGTAGAGCAATGATGCTTTTTGCATATTGTTTGTGATATTGGCGCCACCAGGATTGGCCAAATTGATAGCAGCCAAAGGAAAAATAAATAATAGTGTTTGGAAACTGGATTTTAGGAAACTAGAGTGACCCTAGGATGATGGGAAACCCTACCCTTTCTAATAACGTTTCTTTGAAATTGAACTGAAAAGGAAGGGAACCTATTTTTTATTAAAAACACTATATATAAGGGCGAAACATAGGTTTCCTACATGTTTTATTCCCTGCATTTTGGGACTTGAAATCCAGACCTGTTTTGGAACCTGATAGGACACCCCATATCCTGTTTTCCTTGAGTTGTTTAGAGTGGGAACTGCTCATGTTTCCTGCAGGCCAACCCTCAAGCATTTGGTATAGAGAAAAATGGCATTGCCTACCAAGTTGAGATAGTACGATGCTTATTTAAATGAATAATTCAGTGAGGTATAGTTTTGTTATGGAGTCAATCCCATAATAATCTCATTATTAGTTTCAAAAATATTATATATCTGCTAAAATGTAGCTTGGGTCTGCTTGTTGTTTATTGCCATCTTACTAGAGAGAAAATAGGATACAGATCTTCTAAGTATTGTTCACTTCTATGTGGAGCCCTATTTATTACGTTATCTAATTCTACTGTAAATGTTAGTAATAGATTTCAAGTTGTTTGAGTGGTGGACGTAAGCCTCTGGAGACCAGATCCCAACTTGGCCATAGAAACTCACTGGGTGTCTTTGGGCAAATCACATTGTCAGCCTCAGAGAAAAGTAGTCCCCTTTTGAAGAAAGCTAAAAAAGGCATGATGGGTTCTCTTTAGATTTGACAAAAAATTGAAATGACTTGAACTCATACAAGAAACCATGCCTTATGAGGAGCAGCTTAGGAAGCTGGGTATATTTAGCTTGGAGAAGGGAAGGTTAAGAGGTGACATGGTAGTCATGTTTACATATTTGAAAGTGTTGCACTAAGTGTATCTCAGTCAAGTCCAATGCAGAAGACACAATAACATTGCACCCAGGCAAGAGGGAAAAGAACAGAAAACTTTACTCTTATCAGCAGAGTTAAAACATAAACTTGCAATGTTACAAACATGCAACAAACTTACATAGTCTTTGTAAGCAATACAGAATAAGGCTTCTTCATCTTCATCCAAATGAGAGAGCAGTAGAAATGGTTGAGCAAAATGCCTGAGCAAATACTCCTCAGAGCAAAAGCTAAACTGTATTCTAAAAACCATACAGTTATACCCCACCAGGTGTAGTCCAAACTTACTAGTTGACCTACATTAGCAGCTGCACATAATAATTAACAGCATAAAGTTTTCTTTAACACACATATACTTGATCCTGTTACAACTTACTGTAACAGAAAAGATGTCATATTGAGGAGGGAACAAGCTTGCTTTCTGCTGCTCCAGTGACTAGGTCAGGAAGCAATGGATTCAAACCTCAGGAAAAGGGAATATGCTGCTTCGGAGCTTGGCGGAGTCTCCTTGTGCCCGTACCTTGGGAAGTCTGATCTGGCCACAGTGGTCCACGCTCTTGTTACATCCCGAATAGATTACTGCAGCGCACTCTACGTGGGGTTGCCTTTGAAGACTGTTCGGAAACTTCAATTAGTCCAGTGTGCGGTGGCCAGATTACTCACCGGAGCGTCATACAGGGAGCATACCACCCCTCTGTTATGTCATCTCCACTGGCTGCCGATCCAGTTCCGAGCACAATTCAAAGTGCTGGTTTTGGCCTACAAAACCCTATACGGCTCCGGCCCAGCGTACCTGTCCGAATGCATCTCCTTCTACGTCCCGCCTCGGAGTTTAAGATCTTCTGGGGAGGCCCTGCTCTCAGCCCCACCTCTATCACAAGTGAGATTGGTGGGGACGAGGAGCAGGGCTTTCTTGGTGGTGGCCTCTTGCCTGTGGAATTCACTCCCTGGGGAAATCAGGTCATCGACATCCCTCCTCTCTTTCAGAAGGAAACTAAAAACATGGATATGGGACCAGGCCTTTGGGTAATCTGGCAGATAGACAAAGGACAATGACGACTAGAATTGATAGGATTTGACAATGTGGAATGAACTTACGGATTCCGAGTTGGCGAACGTTGAACATTAGTCTGGTTTTATTGATTGTGATATATATCTTGCTTGTTTTAATTGCTATTGATACATGTTTTACCTTATTGTTTGTTGCTGGCATCGAATTGTGCCTTTTGTAAGCCACCCTGAGTCCCCCCTCGGGGGTTGAGAAGGGTGGGGTAGAAATGCGCGAAATAAATAAATAAATAAAATTTTCTGGATGCTTTTAAGCAGAGGCTGGATGATCATCTGTTGGGAGTACTTTGTGTATTTGTACATGACGGGTGCGATTGGATGGCTCCTTATAGTTTCTTCCATCTCTGTGATTCAATAAACAACAATAAAGTTTCAGCAAAACCATAAATAGCCATAAGGAAGTAAGGAACTCTTTTGTGTTAAGAGTCTTCATTAAGATCCCCTGGCATTACGGGAAACTAAAGTAATCTGAATTCTCTTGACAGTTCCAACTGGAGTGGAGTCACAGAGTCGGTAGTGTTTACATACGTTTTTACTCACCTGTAATGATTCAGTAAGACTCAGGTTCTCATGCTTTCTTTTCATGGGTTCAGAAGATATCTTTAGAGCTAAACCTCAAAAGATGAAGAGTTTGTATCCCCACCTCCGTACAGCCTAAACTGTGAGGTTTGAAATAAGCATAAATTGATGCAAAGCATAGTGAGTGTTGTCAAAACGCTCAGATTATACATCTCATATTCAGATTATATCCTTTTGTAAGTGACACATAGAAAACTTTATTTAATAAGTTATATTTGTGTTTCCAAAATTTGTTGTGCAGTGGTAGGAGCGACATAACATCATTAAATACCCGTATATTCCGGCATATAAGGCGACTGGGCGTATAAGACGACCCCCAACTTTTCCAGTTAAAATATAGAGTTAAGACGACTCCCATGCATAAGACTACACCCGTGTATAAGACGACCCCTGACTTTTGAGGAGATTTTCTTGGGTTAAAAAGTAGTCTTATACGCCAGAATATACTGTACCCTAAATTCAGTACTTTTGAATTAATCTGATCAGTATTAGTCAGATATTATATAAAGAACATAGAAGTGGGGAAAATATAGTGATAAAACAGAGCTAGGAAAATGTTTGAAGTTCCTTGGACTGATAAGCAGCCTGCCATGTGATGTTAATGTGATGTTGAATACAGAGCAGAATACATAAAATACTGTGGAAACTGCAATTGAATTATATTGAGCAAAACCTCTGAAAATATCCTTAACTGAAATTAATAACATGGTAAATTATATCTGTTGCTCACAGTCACTTTGGAGTCACTTGTAGAAAGGCAGGGCATAAATAATGAATTGAACAAAATGATCAGGATTAAAACTTGTTGGGTGTCCCTCTTGTTATTTCATTTATTTTCTTTACCTCTTGTGATTGTTTTACAGTCTGTCATTTTCCTAGCTTGCTGTGCTCTTAATATCCTAGTCCAGGATATATAGCCCTACAGATTCTTTAATCTGTAACCATAACTTCATTGCTGTCTCCACTGGGTAGATATGATAAGAAATTTCAGTCCTACCACATGTGAAGGACTAACCCTATCCTTTCCACACATCTGCCCTTGCCTCTGTTTAAAATGTTGTAACATGCACACTTCATCTTTCTATATATCTCCTAACAGTACAGTTGGATCAGAGTTACATTACCAGCGTGTGCAGCTTACTTTGTTGCTGCTGTTGCTGTTGTTGTGTTTCTTCAAAATATTTTAGACTTAAGGCAACCCTATCATGGAGTTTCCATGGCAAGATTCGTTCAGAACTGAGATAGTGGGATTTGCCCAGTGGATTTCCAAGAAGGAGGATGATTTGTCCCCAGGTCTCCAGAGTTGTGGTCTAATGCTTGAACCACTATACGACAATGACTCACTTACTATATTGCACTGTATTAACATTGTGCAGAGTACACTGTGTGCAACTATCTCTTTATTTTCTATGGATGTTCTGTGGAAGAGCAGTGGTTGCCACTCCCTTTTGCTCTCATCTCATCACCCTTTGTAACATAGGAATCAGGATCAAGTGTTTGGGGAAGGGTGGGGGAAATCTGCAGACTGGGACCTTATGCTTGGCTAGTTCTTTGTCTGTAACCTGAGATGTTATCGAAGCCCATACTGGAAGAAATAGAGATACAAGCAACTCGACATCTGTATTATCCATTACTCTGAGTTGCCTTTTGTAGTTGGGGGTGGAACAGATGGCTTGAGCTTAGTTTAAAGTGGGGTATCCATTAAAGTAACTTGTACTGAGCAGCAATCATCATTTGACAGCTTAAGAGCTGCACTTGCTTTCTGAATTATGGTTTTTGTTTGCTTGAAATTCAGAGTCAGAAATTAGCAGAACTAAATGAGCAGAACCCATCATGGAAACCCATCATATTAAATTGAAACGAGCTCTTTGGATAAAATCTTGTTCAAGGATGTGCTGACTTACAAGGATGAGAAAGAGTCACCCCCTTTCCCAAGTCAATGCCCAGTTAGATCAGAAGGCTCTTGCTGTTTCTGCTGTAGTCTAAGGTGATATACAAGGATGCCTTATTCTGAAGTACTGTTGGCTCTTCACATTTCTGCATTTAACTTTTTACCAATTTTATTATTTGTGTACTTGATTA